AAAGTGTTGCCCCTTGACCCCTGAGGACTGACACTGTCCCCTGAGGACTGTTTTCTGCAGATTCCACGAATCTGGTATTTTTTTTCTTCATCTCTCTTTCCATTTGCCTTTTCATAATCTTTTCACTATGCTGTGGACACGGACACAGGACTTCAACCTTCAGTTCTTAACATCCTGCTGTTACAAGTCTATGATATTCTCAATTTTTACTGGAAGTTTGAAGATAATTAAAAGAAATTATAAACTGAACATTGTAACCTAGAAAGGGAATCAGTTTCTTCTCCACATCATCTGTCTGTTGCATTCCTCATCTTGACCTGTTATGCGCTGACCTTATATCAGAATCTTCCAATCACAGATCCTCAGCTTCTTAACTCAGACATGCTCCCTTCTTCTCCATATCTAGCACTGATCACCGTATAAATTTCCCATTAAAAGACTGCTTGCTATATTAATAAATAAATCACTGAACATTACCACTGGAAGTACCTGCATCTGGGTTATATGTTGTTTCCTAAGAGTAATTGCTACATCGTGGCTTTATATCTGAATGGATGGAAATGGATAGACAGAGGCCACCGGGATCACCTCCCCCTTAGACTCCTCCCCAAGGCTCTCCCAGTGCAACCAGCTTGGGATTTTACATACAACGCTTAACAGCAAACACTGCATCAGCTTTTCTATAGATTTTTGTGTATATTACAGGAGGAAGTATCTTATCAGATTTCAATGATTTCTGTCATGGGCAAATGACAAGTGTCAGCGATGGCATTAAGTGGAATACACAGAGGACTGTAGTATCTGCATGTCATTTCCCTGTGCTCTGAGGTTAGATGAGGCAGTTCTTAGAGATAGCCTCGTGGTGGCAGCAAGGATACGTAATTGACAAAGTAAGCCACAGTCTGGGTTTACCTGCCGGTGAGCCAGGAATCCAGAAGAGCTGGAAAGCATCCTAGCCTGAGGTATTTTTTTTTTTTTTTTTTTTTTAGCAAAGTCTATTATTTTTTCTCTGAAGTCAAGACTTTTCTTTTCTTGCTGCAGGATAGCACCTAACCTCCCCTGTCATCTTTCCTTCATTTTGTTGTAATGATTTTGTTATTCCAACTAGGTAAAAACTATCCAATTTGGAAGAAGGTTGAAAATTTAGGAATGACTGGTAGTTTTTAAATTGATTGAAGAAATCAATTAAGTCTCTATTTCATGGCTCTGGAATTCCATCTCAGGCCCCTCAGGTCAACTTTGTATCTGCAAATGCACTTGTGCCTGTGGAGCTCTTGACACTCCTGCCGGGATGCCAGCTTTTTATTTCTTTCCTAAAGGTTTTGTCTTTTGTAGAAAGTTGTTTCTCCATTACCATCGCCCCCCTTACCATTGCTGTCTACACTGAGTGCTATCTGCTCCTCTCCTCACCTCCTCACAATACTCTCAGAACTCTAGAGCAGCTCTGGAAAAATCTTGCTTGGAGGCACAGTTGGTAATAAGTAGATGGGACAAGCTTTCACAGAAAGAAAGATGAATTTGAGGACTCAGCCTGGGATAGGAAGCTAAGGGAGAATGTGGTCGCTGTATATAAAAGTCCGATCGATTAAAATCAAAGGTGAATGTGATAAATGAAATCATAAAACATCTGCACATCAGGGCCTCCCTGGTGGCACAAGGGGTTATAAAGCGCAGCACTATGAAGCTGTCTACAGTCACTGCAGCCCCGGCCAGGGAGCTGACCCACATAGCGCGGCAGACCTCCCTTGTCTCACCCAGCAGTGTATTCCAGTAGATCTTCCTGTTCTGCTCCCCACTCTGTCTCTGGTGAATCCTCTCACCCCTCTACTCCCAGCACCTCTGGGCTGTACCCCAATTCTTGTATGCATAAATAAATCTTAATAAGTAAAACCCTAGATTTAAAAAAAAAAACACATCTGTACATCATTATTAAAAATAATGAGCATTATGTGGTGGGCAGATGTGGTCTCCCCAGTGTCTCCTTGGACCAGTGTGTGTGAGAAGAAGACAGCTGCAGGGCTGTGGCAGGTGTGAGTGTTCCCTCCTGGCTGTCAGCACAGTAGGGAGACCTCACTTGTATCTCTGAAATACTGACTTACCCTGGGAGGGTCAGAGCAGACACCTCTCTAACTTCCCAGCCCGAGAGCTTTCTGCACTTTAGAAGGTCATGACAGAACTTGCTGCCTCTGGTGCGGCTTGTTCCACTTTTAAACAGCTCTGATCGGGAAGTCATTCTTTCTGGTAAATGAAGGTGATTCCCTTGTTACCTCAGCTAAGAAGGGCTCCAGTCATTTCTCACCTCTCTTCTACCTGAGAGCCTTAACAAAGTGAACGTGGCCTTCTTGAAAAAGCAGGTCTGGAAGTTGACTTTTCATGATGAAATATGACCTGGGCATAGAATTGGACGTCCAAGCCAGGCAGTCCTGTGGCCGTGTGGGGGTCCAGGAGTAGCCTGAAGACCCCTGTCCGCCCACCCACTGTCCATTCATTGAGTAGCCAGTGAGTTCTCAGTGGGCCAAAAACCTCTCTTAGGTTCTGATAGAAACCAGAGAATTTGGAAAAATCTCTTTAGAAGGCTGGCACATCCATGTTTTTCTTTTCTTGATGCTTCCCCTTTGCTTTGAAAAATATTCTTCTGTTTTCCACTTTTTGTACTTGTTTTCTGTAGCAGTGTTGGTTCATAATAAGCAAGTCCTTGATCACCAGAAGCAAAATCTCTTCATGTATCATTGTTTACCATAATTATATCCACAACAGGCCAGTACAGCAGGTGTGTGTGTGTGTGTGTGTGTGTGTGTGTGTGAGAGAGAGAGAGAGAGAGAGAAACTTTTGGCTCAAAATCCTAACTTTATAGATTAGGAGGAAGATACTTTTGTTTTCTTCTTGAATTAAAATGATACTTAAATTTTCTGCCTTTTTTCATCTCCTTAGGGTTCATGTGTATGTATGGATTTACTTATTTTTAATCAGTTGATGTCTATACAAAGAGAAAAAAGGAACAATGGTTATGAAAAAAGGAAGTGAAGACAGAAAGATGCCTGCTGCCTCTGCACCTCCCAGCAATGATGCCACCAGCTACTCCATATATAAGTGCCAGTTTCAAAGCTGGTATTTTACCTTCCTTTTTTGAGCTGTTGCTGGCACTTCTGATAGCCGATGTGATTCTTTAATGAGATTATTAAAGGTTGGATGTTGGTTCTACTTTTCAGAAAACAGAAAAGAGATCATATATTATTTGAACTTAAAGACAACACAGGGAGGATGGAAGTATTGGTGGTTGGAGAACAGAAAATGATCCACTGTGAGGAAAGGGATAAACTTTGACTCACTTTCTTTGAGCTGTCAAAATTTGGGGAAAAACTACAGTTGAAATCAGGAGACCACAGTGCCTTTAAGGTGGGGATTCCTGAAGGAAGACACTCCCCAAGGAGATGGCACTGTCTGTCTGCTTTCACAGGGCTGGCAGCTGCTATTGAACAGGACGTGGTGTGGAGACCCTGATAGTTCACTTTCATCTCACAGACTGAGGAGCCGCCCCTTCAGGAAATGCACGTTACATGAGCAGGACGTGGGCTTGAAGCAGACACGCACTAAGGTGCCCACACAACCCACGGAGAGCTGAGTGATATTGTTCTACGTCTACCGCAGACAGTCTTTCCAACGTGGGTGAGTGATTCTCATAGCTGTGAGTTGTCTCTAGCTGTAGAGACAGCTAGACAACAACCAGCAACACCTCAACAACACGTTTCATTTGGCCCAGCCACCCCTACCTCTACCACTGTCTAAAAACTGTGCCAAGATAAACCTCTTCTCGTTAAGCACTCCTGCATGTACAGCAGGGAGCCTAAGTCACAGTAACCTGCTCCTGCCTTCACCTCTGACTCCACACCCGCCTGCACTCTGTAGCCTCTCCCGTGTGTCCACATTACCTGCTGGCTCTGTCTCTTTTGTAAGAGTAAGTGGACTGGACACACTGTGCATGTGTCCTTATAGTTAGTCTATCTGAGGCAGGAATTAACTTCAGGAGAGTGAGGCATGATCAGAGCGGAGGGGAAGAAGATGGTCACATGAGAAAGGAAGGTGCATATTAGGAGAATGGAGTTGCTGCAGCATCGAAGAGTCACTTAGCTGCATCTCAGAACATCAGAACATACCTGCTTTCTTCTCTATCCAGGCTGTGAAAGCGCACACGCGCACACACACACACACACACACACACACACAACTAAACGAAAAGGATCAATTCAGATCCTTGAACTAAAAAAACATGTGTCCCATACTCCTGACCATCTCCTGCTGATTGGAGTGAGGAAGCCCTGGATGCCTGTTTAGCTTGGGGGTAAGTGCAGGTTGTGGGGAGAACAGAAGGGGTTCCTCTGCCATCTGGGACCAGCCTTGGTCTTTGGTGGGCACTGGCCCTAAGTCTGAGGGGTGAGGCTTTCACCTCGCCAGATATAGGGGAAACTTACAGTTGCTGTTCTTGACAGCATTTCACTGAAGAAACCTGTCCAGCCTCTTCAGCTGACCATGAGCTCCAGAAGGCAGCAGAGTGCACAGGTTCCCTGCCCCAGCCCTGTCAGTAGTCAGCATGGGATAATTTCTGCATAATTACTCAGCATTTTATTACAAAAAAAAGTTTATCTCTCATTATTGCATCTTCACATGCAGGTTAGTTAAAAAGTAGGACTTTTCTCTATGTAGATATTCAGGGTTATGCAGTCCAATAAATATCTGTTGAAGGCATATGATGATTAATGCGAAATATATGTACTCTGTGTAGTTGTAGAAATCAGTACAAGCTAAAGTTATAAATAACCTAATTCACAGAAGACAACTATGAAAGGCTTATAATGTGAAAACATTGACAACATTACTAGTAATACCAGACAATTAAAGCATGAATAAGAGTCAGCTTTTTCTTGGAATGCATTAAGTCAGTTTCAACAACAAAATGAAGGCAAAAATCAGCTTTTTCTGAAAACATGGGGGACGGGGGCAAATGAAACAGTGAATCAAAAATCTGAGTAAACAGACACACCTCCAAGATACACCTCCAAGTGCATCCTCACTTAGGGACAGTTAGTAGACACCGAATACCTGGCAGATAGAAGAATCAAGAATGACTGCCTTGAGGGGAACCTTGGGCCAACACAAAAATCCTGTGCCCCGGGAGCCTCAGCCACCAAGAAATCTGCACCCAGCTCTGTACTTCTCTATGGATTTCACTGGAGGTTCCATGGGAGAGGGGGTGCCGGGGAGGGTGGATAATCGGTCACTGTGAGAATGGCAGATACCCTGCTTAGTCCTTCCCTACAGTAAAAATCCTCTGGAGGAAAAGAAGCAAGTTCTGCCATGTTTATGGGGTAGGTGAAAAACTGAAAGAAGGAAGGAAAAGTTACTCTATACCTGGAAAAAGTAGGAATAGGTTCTCAATGCAGAATGTTAAGGGTTCTCCTACATCTGGCTAGGTGAAAGCCTCACCCCTCAGACTCAGGGCCAGTGCCCACCAAAGACCAAGGCTGGACCCAGATGGCAAAGGAACCCCCTCTGTTCTCCCCACAACCTGCACTTACCCCCAAGCTAAATAGGTATCCAGGGCCTCCTCACTCCAATCAGCAGGAGATGGTCAGGAGTGTGGAATACATGCTATTTTTTATTAGCTCAAATGTATTGGCTAGACTTGTAGGTTGATGGTGCAACAACTGAGAAATTTTAAGCCTGTGATAAGAAGTCATAGAATAAAAATTGATAAAGTAAATCTCCAAATTGAATCCGGGGTTACTGGGACAGTCTATATAAGTCTACCAGGCAGGACTGCTTGGCAACTGGGGTTAACTACATCAGCCTTAGTCAAACAGCGACCTGACATCTGGAACTGGCGGGGGGGGGGGGAATTTGGAGCAATTGTAACAGATACAGGTTTCATGGACTCCGCCCCCACTCGATGCTGTAACACCAGATCCCATCAGTACCAAGAAGAAGCACGCAGGGACGTAAGGGCGGAGCTGAGCAGCCAGGTTGGGATAAAACATGACATGTGGGCTTTTGGGGTCTCTTGGCCTGGTGGTTCACAGTTGATCGTTTTGGCGCTCAATCTGTTTTCAGCGTGCCGGTGGAGTCCACGTCAGCAGAACTGGTAGGACATCCTAGTTTCTCTCCTGTGTTTCTCTCCCTCTTTCCCTGGGTTATTCCTTTACCTTTCTCCTTATAAATAAATCCATTACTTAACCTTTTGAGTGTGTCCATAATACGATTGAATCGTAAGCGCACGGGTGAAGACCCACAGGCAGGCAACCCAATTCACATTGGGGTGCCCTGTAACACAATGACCCCAACCTATTTGTAGAAATCAACCAATGAGAGCAGACACCAGCTTTAGAAAAGACAATCACTGCACTGACATGCAGGCACTGTAGCTTTTGCATGTTTTTCGGTCCCCTTTTAAAGAATTTGAATTGTTTACCTGCAAGAAGCAGCTTTGCATTCTTTCCCCATGTTGTAACATGCACATGGATTGTCATGCCCTAAAGACCACCCTTTCTCTGAAAAACCTGTTTTTACTTGCAGATAAAGCTCTGGCTCAGTTCATATTTTACATTGCACACACTGGAAGTAAAAAGCAACAACAGATCTCAGACCCAGATGTACTGTTCACCAGATTAAGTCAACATCTATGGAAAAGACATAGTAAACAACAAGCCATGCTCATTTGCAGACATAAACAAGATGTGCCTCAATCTCTATCCTCACAGGTGTCTTTCGATAAAAGTGTGAGGCACAGAAAGAAGTAGAAGAAAAGAAAGTCTTCTAGAAGGCAATCAAAATAAACAAAGCCAGACAAAGTACTGATGTTGGTACTATTATTCAGGTCATATAAAATGGCTGGAAAACATGTGCCATTGGATGGACAACTTCCACAGTAAAAGGGAGACTGAGAAAGAATGAAATGGAAACGCTAGAAATGGCTTAACATTTGTAAGTCACATAGCTTCTACATACCTGTACACCTAATTTGCGAAAACTCTCAAAACTCAATAATATGAACACAGACAATGACATTATTTTAAAATGGACAAAAAAGATATATAGGTGGCAAGTCAACGCATAAAAAGATGTTCAACCTAGTTCACCTTTAGGAAATGGAAATTTAAATTGCTGGAGACGCCAAGAGGCAGAAATTCAAAGTCTACAACTGATTAAGAATGAGTCTGCCTGCTGGGGCTGTGGAAGTCCTGGAGGAACCAAACTGTTCTGCAGGGGAGGTGGGAATGCCAAGTCCTACAAGCTCTTGGAAAGTTCAGCAGTTTTTAAAGAAAACATACCCCTGGAGAATGCTAAGCCCTAAGGAGCACACAGCAACTGTAGCACTCACTCACATCGCAGGGGGAAATGAAAAATGGTGCAGTCACCTTAGAACACAGTTTGACAATTCTATTAAATTTAAAATAGACTTTCCCAAGTGACCCAGCAATCTCTCCCCATTTTTTTTTAACCCACTTTAAATGATGACATATGTTCACACAAAAATCTGCATGTGAATACTTCTAGCAATTTTATTTGGAATTATGCAAAATTGTAATCAACTTAATTGTTCCTTATCTGGGAAAGTGTCAAAAAAGAAACAAACATAGACTCTAAATGGAGTCCTCCATCTGAGCCCCTCCAACACATCACACCTACCCTAATGCAGCTTCATCCTCTCTCCAAAGTAGAATTTTAAACCAATCAATGTGAATGGAGTTTCCCAGGCACAGCAAGTGAGGTAAATCTGTATGATAAACCCCCCCACTGGCCACCCACTAAGAAAAGGGGACTTTGCCAGAAATAATCTTTCTTTTGTACTGCTTATAGCACATCCCACTCTTTGTGAATATAAAAACCTTCCATTTATTTCAACTCCTATGAGTGACTGCTACTTGCTAGATGAGATGCAGCCTGGTTCAGGAATCATTTTGTTACAGGGCAACTGCTGTGTGGAAAGGGTTGGCCTGAGTGTGGATCCTCACCAAAGCACTCAACTGCAGGCACACAGAAAGGTCAATGAGGGGTTTAGTTAGGAAAAGGAGAAATGAAAAAGAAAAAATAACCCAGGAAGAGAGAGAAATTGGTGACTGCCTCCTACCAGTTCCATGAGCTCGGGCCCCCCTAACATGCTGAAGGCTGGTGAAAAACCAATCAGCCAAGCCCAGGTGAATCTGGTTATATATCAAGCCTGGGTGCTTAACTGCACCCTCAGTTCCCAGAAACCTTCCCTTTGGGGTGATGACTTTATAGGATTTCCAGTTCTTGGTACCCTGGATTTCTTTGGCCAGGGTTGGGGGTGGAGTCCATAAAACCAGAGTTTTCGGAGCTTATTCAGGACACCCTCTCCCTCTAACAGTTTAATATTTTATTCAGATGAATTTTGTTTGAAACTTGTTCTTTAACAAAGTTTGGTGGATCCACACAATTGAATTCTACTCAGCATTACAAAGGAATAAACCACTAACACACATAGCAATATTAACTCCATAAATGCACTAAACTAAGTGAAAGAAGTTAGACTTAAAATTCTACATTCA